GCTTTCCCTTCATATATTTGTCCTTTTTTGTAGCTAAATATGTTATTTATATATAAATAAAGAAATATATATTTATATATATAAATTATTATTATTATTTGTAGTCAATTATGTACTCTGACAAGAAGGACTGTTTATATTTTTGCAGCTGAGCTACTGTAGGGATTTGTGATGACTAAAAGGGAAGAATTTGCTGAACAGAAGTGTGTGTGTGTTTCTCCCTGCAGGCAGAGATCGTGAAGAGATTAAATGGGATCTGTGCTCAAGTCTTGCCTTACCTGTCTCAAGAGGTACAGAGAGAGATAGCAGCGTTACCTCAACATGTAGTTTATAGCATTACGCCTCTCTAATTTATGCATACATAACTGATTTGAACAGGCTGTATATAATAGGGATGTAAAGATTTTACAATGAAATCTATGGGCTCGGTGCACTTATTTTGGAGGACAGGTATTTATAGTGTAAATGCTTGATTATGTTCACATAATGATTGTAATGTGAATGTGGGAACATGTTGTACAAGATGTGATGGGATTTTTGTGTGTGTCTGTGTGTCTATTTCAGCACCAGCAGCAGGTTCTGGGGGCGATGGAGAGAGCCAAACAGGTCACCCCACCAGAGATGAACTCCATCATACGGGTAAACAAACTGTCTCTCTCTCTGTGTGTGTGTGTGTGTGTGTGTGTGTGTGTGCGGGGCTCATGTGGGCTCACACACAGGTATATACAGTAGGCTTTGTTTATGGAAATGCATCTGAATTAGTTTATGGCAGTCTAATTATGTAGAACGAAAGGCATTATTAATGATTTTTTTTGTGCATTGCAGTAGGGATTGTTTAATAGTCATTTTTGCATTTATATGGCTTTGAATTAGTTAATTCTGTCTCTTGTAAATTTAAGTTTTAATTCTAGCATGCTTTATTGGCATGACAAAAACTATACATTCATATTATGAAAACATCTGCAGCTTTTGCTTTGTACAAGTGGAAATAAATCAAAAAAGAAACACAATGCAATATAATAATATAAAGTAGAAAAAACTGTGTGAATGGAGTAATCAAGTAATACTACAAATAAAATATGATAAATTATAAAATAAGGCCACGAGAGGCCATACAATTTTTTTTTTTTGGGGGGGGGGGTCAGTGATATAGTGAACTGTTTTATATTTTAATATATTTTAAAATGTAATTTATTCCTTTGATGACACAGCTGATTTTTCAGCAGCCATTAGAATCGAAAGATCAAAGGAACTGCATTTATTTGAAACATGTCTTTTTGTAACATATAAATGTCTTTACTGTCATCTTTGTTCAGTTTTCTGCATTCTAGCGAAGTATTAATTTATATAATTTACTCATCATAAATTATTACTTATATTTATTGCTTCTGTATTAAAATATTTATCATTTATTATTTAAAAAAAACTTATTGAGCACATTTTTGAATGGTGATGTATGTATATATTTGATTCATTAATTTAGAATTTGCTAATTTATAGATTTATTTGTGGTTCATCCAGTCATACTTTAGAGCTGGAACTATATTTTATGGTAATGTTTTATAGTAAAGTGAAACGTAAACTAAGAAAGTTACAATTAACTAAGAAACTACGTAGGTAACAACATTGTTTGTGTGTGTTTTGTAGCAGCAGCTCCAGGCTCACCAACTCTCTCAGCTGCAGGGGCTGGCATTGCCCATGACCCCTCTTCCTCTCGGCCTGAGCCAACCTGCCGGCCTCCCCGCTGTCACCTCCAGCTCTGGCCTCTTCTCCCTCTCCAGCATCCTGGCCTCTCAGGCCCAGCTGGCCAAGGAGGATAAGAGCACACGCGAGACCTCCGACAGCCACCGCGAGGAAGACGGAGACAAGTCCGACTAGTCACCCGCCAAACCCGTTCCTTCATCCAATCATCATCCAGAGCTCCACGTAGAGCAGAGGCACTTGTTTCCCTGTTTTTTCACCTTTTTATTGTCCTTCGTTTTCCAGTCTCCTTTCATCTTTCTATCTAAATTGCTACTGTGCTCACATGCCTAATGTCATTCGTTCTGGTTCATTCCACCAGCTCTCTATATGTATTTATATATATATATATATATATATATATATATATATATTGTATATTTCTTACGCTCGTTGTGGAAATGGTCTACAAAATGGTGCGACCGTTAATGGACCATCGACCCTTCAGTAATAATTCCTCTTTGTTTTTTTTCCCCGCTCACTCTCTTCCTCTTAAAATCTTTCACCTTTTAAAGCTACAATCTACAATAACTGAGTCAAAAGCACTTTGGCCCCAGGCAGTAACTCTGAGACTAAAAGCAACTTTGAATCTAAAAACTTAGCCGCGGCATAATCCATTTAGAGATTAAAGGATTGGTGTTATTGTTCGAA